GTATTCAGCGGAGGAAAGTCAATGATCGATTATCAGTACTGCCGTGCCGAGGTAAAACGCCGTATGACTCTTCAGGCGTTGCCAAATATCCTTTGATGAAACACGAATTTCTTGGTAGACTCATGAATATTTTTGTAACAATTTTTCATATAATTTTGTTAGCAATTTCACCTAAAGTTCCTGAAAATGTCAAGGAAAAATATTCATAACTTTCCTCAAAAATAAAAATTTTATCGGAGGAAATTTGGCAACTCTCGAATGTTCATACGGCGTTCTTCCTTGGCACGGCAGAATAGGACCGCGTTTACCAGAAAGGAACCAAGCCACATCAGCTGTTGCCAAATTTTACTGGGCAATTTAATTTTTTACAAGGTTAAGTTTGTGCGAATTCCTTCGGAAGTTGTAAGACGTTTGCTTTGCAGTGTGCAGAAAATTCACGGGAATTCGCACAAAAATCCGCAGAACCATTTTCATGTAAAAAATTGAATTGCCCGTATAAATTTGGCAACAGCTGATGTGGCTTGGTTCCTTTCTGCTTAAGATATGATCTGTCCGATATGTCCCCATCTGAAGCTGTGGTAAAGAATCGATGCTTTAAGTGTTCGTTGCAAACATACTGTCTATCGATCCTTTTCTGTTAGTTTAAATGGCAAATCGATGGATGTATCGCAAAGCACGCCACGCCACTGATTTTGCAGGCGTTTCTGCGGGATTTTTTTTTAAGTTTGGCGGCGGGGACTCGCAGCGTTCCGGCACAACGCGCCCGAAGCGAGGTTCAAAGCTCCACGGCCGGTAAACGATCACGCTCTCCGCGATAGTAGCCGAAATTCGGAGCTTTCAGCCGGTCGATTATTTAAATTGGTAGACAAAACGCTGGACGAAGAAGACTCAGGGCGTATAGACCGATCCTATTGGTTGAAACGGGTGGTTGGACTGAAGAAGAAAATGGTGGACAAACTGAAGGACTTCTGCCGTTAGTTAGTCGATTACTTACCTCCTTTGCGGGCTGATTTTTGAAATTGATAGACAAAGTGATGGACAAAGAGGACAAAAGGTAAATAAAGCGATCCTGTTGGTCGAAGCGGGTGGTTGCGATGAATAAAGGAGGTAAGTAATAGACTAACTAACGGAGACCCACGAGAGACCCTACAGTCAGTAAATCATTTTCCCACTTAATTTATAACAACCACCAGTTTTAACCAATATGATCGCTCCACGTTCCCTATGTCTCTTTGTCTATTGCTTTGTCTATCAATTCCAATAATCCGCCCGCAGGAGCCTATTTGGACGTGTTTATGCTAAAAGGGATCATGCGCATATCAATGGCCAAAGTGCGAAGCCATGTATCGCCGTTTGTAACTTCTTCTTTTTTTTATTATTTTTTGAAAATTGATCGACGTGATTTTTTTAAAAACTCCCCTGAGTTATCCTCTCTATTAGCAGAATATTATGTATGAACAGGTCATACATCTGGTTTGTTTCTCTTCGAAATAATAAAATAGGAGCGGAATTTTTAAGACCCCTGGTAAAAACTGGCGATAAGACTGCGTTTCAAAATACCATAGGAATTCTTATAGCCGGCTAAAGAAGGCTACAGAAAATCATATAGCTGGCTGTAGAATGCGAAGAAAATCACACGGCCGGGCTATACGAAGCTATGAAAAATTATGCAGCCGGGCTATAGTTCCTACCGCCGGGTTTTACACTTAATCGCCTGGCTGTTGCTTTTTCGCCATCGATTATAAAAGGATATAAGGAATTGTGCAGAAATTCGTGTGCTTTGGAAAGCATTAAGTTTGATACGGAACCACCTTAATATTTACAAAACACACGTTATATTTTCCTTTAATACATATTTTTTTTCATCAATTAAAACAAGAATAATCCATACAGGATGTGCAAACATTTCAAAATCATGAGTTGAATAACGCTGANGTTCGATAATATCGCGATTTTGTTGCAATTTATCGCGATTTTTCTCCCGATAATATTGCAATAAATCGCGACGTCGATAAAATCGCGACGTCGATAAAATCGCGATACATTCTCCAATTAAATCGCAATTTATCGCGATCACTGCTATACTTGGGTACGGTCAGTACGTCATATTCCCCCTTAATTCATAACAACCACCAGTTTTAACCAATATGATCGCTCCATGTTCCCTACGTTTCTTTGTCTATTGTTTTGCCTATCAGTTCCAATAATCCGTCCGCAGGGGCCTATTTGGACGTATTTATGCTAAAAGGGATCATGCGCATATCAATGACCAAAGTGCGAAGCCATGTATCGCCGTTTGTAGCTTCTTCTTTTTTTTATTATTTTTTGAAAATTGGTCGACGTGATTTTTTTGAAAACTCCCCTGAGTTATCTTCTCTGTTAGCAGAATATTATGTATAAACAGGACATACATCTGGTTTGTTTCTCTTCGAAATAATAAAATAGGAGCGGAAGTTTTAAGACCCCTGGTAAAAACTGGCGATAAGGCTGCGTTTCAAAATACCATAGGAATTCTTATAGCCGGCTAAAGAAGGCTACAGAAAATCATATAGCTGGCTGTAGAATGCGAAGAAAATCACACGGCCGGGCTATACGAAGCGACAAAAAATTATGCAGCTGGGCTATAGTTCCTATCGCCGGGTTTTACACTTAATCGCCAGGCTATTGCTTTTTCGCCATCGATTATAAAAGGATATAAGAAATTGTGCAGAAATTCGTGTGCTTTGGAAAGCATTAAGTTTGATACGGAACCACCTTAATATTTACAAAACACACGTTATATTTTCCTTTAATACATATTTTTTTTTCATCAATTAAAATGAGAATAATCCATACAGGATGTGCAAACATTTCAAAAGCATGAGTTGAATAACGCTGACTCCACGAGATGAAATATTAGAGCCTAACACCAAGCGGAGCGGCGACACATTGGCGCCTACAAACCTAACAGGGATACTGCACGCATTGCGCAACGCGTGCAGTATCCCTGTTAGGTTTGTAGGCGCCAATGCGCGTTTCGCGCTGGCTGCCCGCCGGCCACACCGCAGCGTGCCACGGCGCTTGAAGCAACTATTTCACACCAGAGGTATTGCACAGTATCAAACGAAACTGAAGGGGCTCTAATATATTAGGAATGGCAGGCATCCATCAAAAGTACGGAGCTTTCCCCGCAAATTAAATCAAGATACTACGGCCCAAAAAGAAAGCAGTGGTCCAAAAACTCACTAAGTCCTAGCATCCGTAATTAATGACGTTTAGCATCCACTTTATCGCCTGGCTGTTGATTAATCGCCATCGGCTATAAAAGGCTATAAGAAATTGTGTAGCCGGCTATAGAAGCTGTTGGAAATCTTACAGCCGGCCGTAGGTCTATGGTATTCTGGAACACAGATTCTACCGCCAATTTTTACCAGGGACATAGCAATGAAAATACGTGGTTTCGCACTTTGACCATCGGTATGGTTGAAATCAAAAGGTTTGCACAGAGAAATGAATTTGAGAATTCGATCCGTCTTTTCCATGCGTGAAAATTTTCTGAAACATCGAAGAATTTCTGGAAAATCCCATCGTTCCAGAAAACTTTCGATCTCCTTGAAAATTCTCTTGAGGGAAATTGAGATTGCATTTTCGGATTCAGCGCTGAACATAAAATCCGAATCACCTTCCTTAATCTGTGCATTATTTCAAAACCAGTATTTTTCTGTAATAAGAATTGATGTTCACGGGTAATGAAGTAACACAATTTCGGAAAAAAATTAAAATATGTACATTTATTTGTTATAGGTACTTCATCTCTTTCCAGAGATGAAATTAATGCAATATATATTAACAGTCTTCGATGAATGAAGTTCCATCATATAACTTCAAAATTAAAGCTATGAAAATAGGACATAACAATATTAAGGTTCATTCCCAAAATTTCATTGGTTTAAATCATGTCTTGATAAAAATAAACGGGAGGACAAAATGGTTTATAGATAGGTAAGTCACATTTTACAAATCTGGCTTTATAATAATTTGGTACCATTTTCAAAATGCACGTCAAATGACGGTGTGTGAAATAATGGATGTGACTTAACTACGTATTTACAGATTGCTTCATACAATATTAACACGGACTATCTGCTCTCGTGTCATTCGTAGTACCTTAGGCGGAGGAACGTATCTTCATTTCAAGATTGCAAAATTACCAAAAAAGTTCTATTTTTCACAAGGGAAAGACTGTGCAGTTTACAGACGGAACTAAGGACAGGAAATGAGGCTCCTCAATCCACTTGGCCCCTCCAAAAAGTGTGAAGAAATGCGTGACATATTTTTCATCTTCGAATTTGAGATTTGATCTATTTTTCTGTAAGAACCGCTCAAAACTGCTTCCGAGACCACTCAATTTTTAACAAATTTTCCAGAGAGGTCCCCTTGGACCCCCGCTTGGTGCTTGAGAAATCCCCCAGGCCGTCCTTTGGAATTAAGGACTACCCTAGGAATCCCCTTAACGAAAGTTCTTTTAAAGTCCCCTCAGACCTCTTGACAGAGGTGCCCCTTTGTCCCCTACCAAAAATAGTTCCTGTATGGTTTCGCTTGCGGTGAAGTTTCTCTCCAGAATTTAGCCAATGTTGCGAATGTATCAAATGACGTTTCCCTGCCATTTTTTCTCACATTTCAAGGTATTTCCAGACCTTTTTAAAATTCCCTAGCATTCCCTGGTATACCCTGACTGTAGCATTCAATCTCTGTCCCTTCCACAAAAATTTCTTGTACAATTCCGCCTGCAGTGCAGTTACTTTCAAGAATGTTGACAATTTTGCGGATATATCAAATGAAAAATCAGTGAAAATTTTCAGTAAGAAACGCCGGACAGTTCCATCGTAAGCATTACGATTTGGATAGTAGAAATTTTGCAATGTTGGAATCGAGTTACGCTCCTCCTACCAGGAAACTACAAATTTCGAAGCGCAGCGCCATTGCGCTAATTGGGAAAATCGTTATTGCGAGCACTTACACTAATGGTCACTTCCGACACAAAAAATTGTGTTGATGGCGAATTGAGATTTCAAGTAAGGCGGGTTTGGGTGGCGTTGGAGGGAGCTGGGGCTGGTGNCGGGGGCGGGTGCTGGAGCGGGGGCGGGGGGCGGGGACGCGAGGCTCCAGTCTCGGTCGGGTTGCGTCCAAATGTAGCCGGTTTCGGTCATGGAGCAGTGGGCGTTGTAATAGCGCCCGGGGCTCCGACAGTAGGACCACTGCGGGCACTTGCACCGGAACAGCGACTGGAACTCCTCCTTGCAGACCTCGTTCCACCAGCATACTCGCTGCAATCACCAAAAATACAACGGAGAATCAGCGGAATTGTGAATGTTCGCAAGCTCTGGAGCAAAAAGCTCTGGAAAGATCGCTGTCAGTGGCGGTTGGGTGTTGCAGAGCGTCAGAAGCGCTTTAAGCGCGACTTATTAGTAGTAGTGAATGTTCGCGTGGATAAAATATGAGGGGCTTGGAGGACAAGGGGCATAATTGCAGTTTTTGAAAAAATTGAGTTATCCATGATTTCAAGTAAACCTTGTCTTAATGCATATTCTTTAAAAAAAAATTGCTACCAAATTCCAATTTTTAAGCATTCAAAAGTCAGTTTGAATTTTCTTTTCGCCACGAGGATCCATTTAATTTCGAAACATCAAACACGAAATTGCAAAAACTGAACTTATGCACCTTATCCTAGTCCCGTGTCAAAATCTGAAGCCACAATTTGCATACTTCTCTAAATGAATCGTTTCTTAAGATGGCAACAGCGCTAACAGACTTTTGACCATTTTTTTCTGAAATTCCTGATGTAATGATCTCTTGCTCAAAACTGTTCCCAAACTGGCAATGCTCTAGACTTTTGGGCGATCCGGGCGATTTCGTTTTTTTCCAATTCGATAATAATTTCTCATGTGATACATTTGCAATTGAAAGCTCATTTTCGCATTTGATCAGATTTACACAATTAGTAACCCTAGGCAAAAATTTGGCGTATTGTAAACAAGGGTTGCTCAAACGGACTAATGTACAAATAAATGCGAGCCCGATCAACATTCGAAATGGAAGAGATTAACGATAGTGACATACGCAGGCACGTTAATAATGCGCCTTCAATTTAGAACGACGCAACAAGTGTTGACACGGGGTTGCTTGTTGACGTTGCTTGGGTGACGGCGTGGGCAGGACTGATTTTGATGCAGTAGTGACGTTTAAAACCGGCCACAATACTGAGGAATTGAACAGCTAAGCGATCAATTCATAATTTCGCACTTGGAGGACTTTTGCCATTCAAAAGTCCCTAAAAATTACACCTTGCTGCGGGTAAGCATTGAATACAGAAAATAAAGATCGTGAAATGCCTTGGAACAACTTTGAACGTATTTTTTGAGGGAATATTGCGAATGATCGTCAAAAACATTCATTTGACACGTATTTTTAGAGTTTTTTCAAAATATTTTCGGGGCGATTTCTGTTCATTCAAAACTAACCTACCACTACAGCATGGTGTAAAATGTAAGATTTCTGAAAAATTGTCTGAAAATCTATAAATCATCAATGAGTCGGACGACCACTGAACCGATCTTAAAAGTGTTGTGGCGATGTCTTCATTAATTTACTTATTTATTTTTTCAATGATGCAATAATTTCAGTAAAATTTTACTTTTTCAAAGGCCCTTACCTCTGTCAAGTAACCGCGAATGGACGGATCGTTCACTGTCGGTCTGCAGAAGCAAGAATGAATCAGGAGACCTATGATGCACCAACATTGCGCCTAAAACATGGAAAAAACGCACATTAATAATACGCCTTAAAATACGCTTAGAATTCTTTTTATTCGTGGTTGATAATGCCTGAATTGTTTTTTCAAATTTTTTTTCGGGAAATTAGATGCTTTGAATCGGTTTAGATGAATGGAAGAATGAATCAAAAGCTGCATGGTGATGCTGGCGGCGTTAAAAGCACCTGTGCCCTTTTTTAAAATTTGTAATGAAACTAGCAATTACGCACTTTTTATCAACATAATGAAATGGGGACAGCTACTCTGCCGTGCTGAGGAAAAACGACGTATGAGCCTCCAGACGTTGCCATATTTCATAAAAAGCTTTAGTGGGAAAATTAAGAATATTTTTCCTCAAATTTTTCAGACAATTTTGTTTGCAATTTAATCTAAAATATATGAAAATTTCAAGAGAAAATGTGCATAACTTCACTAAAAAATAAAGGTTTCATCCAGGTAAATTTGGCAACTTTTGAATGTTCATACGCCGGTCTTCCTTAGCACGGCAGTATTGATCGGATTCGCTGAGAGAGAAGAGAGAGAAAATATTTACAGCTGATTCGTCATACGCGAACGGTAAGCCTCGGGGTTGTGCGACAAAAGGCTCGACAAAAGGGTTTAAAACTTAAACCTTGTAAGGATGTCATCGCTGTCATTCAATTTGCCGGGGTTGTCATCGTAAAACCTTTTTGCCGACGACGGCGTGGCGCGTGAAATGCGAAAAGGTACCGGTTCTGATGACCCGATTAGTGTCAATCTCCAGCTACAGGTGAGTACACAAAGCAGCGCTCTTCTGCCATGAAGGCATACCTCTCTTTCCGCGTGAGCCTTGAAAAGCATGGTGTTATATGGACAATGGGGCTCAACTCAAAAAGCAGGTACGTTTGAAGAACGACGAAAGCACCAAGATCCGTATCGCCCGGACCTGAATCAATCAAATGGGGCCCCATTTTTGCGCCATTTTCCTGTTTCTTTAGAGACGCATCCGTAGCTAATTTGCACCGCGAAAAAGAGAGCAGATAAATAAACCGAGAAGATGTATGACGTGCTACGAAAAACCGCTGCGTGGAGGACGTTGCCGAATTTCTTTTGATAGAAAACAATTTTTCCCGAAAATTTTTATCCTAGTAAGTACATTTGTTTCATAAATGTTTACTTTGATTTCCAAAATTCCTAAAATGGATTAAAAATTTTCATTTAGGAAAATTTTCTGTATTCCTCAGAATACAAACTGGTAATACACTCGTCCAGACACCAGTCAATAAATCAAGGCTAAAAGAAAATCTAACTCTCTCTAAAACGGTCAAAAGCGATCATCTGTTTCGCCTTCGATTTTCCGGGTATGCAAAAGGGACTTCAACGAGTTAAAATACTGGTACCCGATTCCATTTTTTAGGTTTACGCATGGTCATAAAATGTAGTCATGATCTAAGTACATCTGTTTCAGCAATCTTTTCTTTTGATTTCAAAAATCCTTACAATGGTCCCATAAGTTCCGCAAATTTTACATAGAATTTCAGCACCTTTCAGAATTTTAAGTAACCTTAAAAATCTCTCTCGAAAGTTCCGTTTAAAATGCCGAGAGAGAGGCGCTTGTGATACCCGAGATAAAGAAATGATGACAGGTACCTACTCAAAGCTTACAAAGAAGCAGAATGCCGTGGATATGCACGTAAAAGCTGAAATATGAGCTTTGCCCGTGCTGTCTTATTCCCTCTCTCTTCCCTTCACCATCTTTGTAGACCCCGAATGCTGGAGGAAACAGGGTTATTATTCGACTTCGGTGTAATTCTTAAACTCCTCCCAGCCAAATGCTCTTATTTCCCGCTCTTTTTATCCCGCTCATTTTGTCGCTCCACTGACGTAAAGGCGTAGCTCAATTTCTACGTAAGCCCTGTTTTACATCTAAATCTATGCTTTCTGGGGCTCATGCTCGGGGGAAAAACGTCTTTTCGCTCGATTTTTTTCAGTTTTACATTGTAATGAACTCCGCAAAGCTCCCACTTTATCTTCCTTTCGCTCTATTTTCTTCTTCCTCTCTGAATCTGTTCTGAGAGATAATCGCTCCTTTTTTCATAATAGCGGACGTGTGCACTTTCCTCAGCTACGTGGGCTGCAGTACTTTCCCTCGGGAATTAGAATCGGAAAAGAAACAATTATAAGATGGGAGATAGAGATATTAAACAAAGAGGCTGCACCTGTGCACAGTTGGTGCAACTGGTGGTTACTGTTTCTAAATTAGTACGTATTACGATCAACGTGGGATTATAAAGGAGGAATTGTAATAGCTCCACTCTTTTGAATTAAATTTTTAATTCCAGTGTGCATCCAAATGAGTATGCTGATGTATAGCATGACGAGGGAACAATTTTGCGAATCCTCAGACATATGCCGTACTTTGCTCTCCTTCATATGAAGGAATATCAACCGTTCTTGAAAAAAGTTAGTGGTTTCATTGGTTTTTTCTTTTTCCCTGCCTGAAATATCCCCTAAAAACTTCATATAAGAATCTGTCTTGGTTTCATTTGAGAAATAAAGTTTTGAAATAGGTACAGCGATTTCAGGGGTTTCTATTGATAATTGTGACGAGATTTCTTTATTATTAGTAACGAAAGAAGGCTGCCACAGTATGTCGCACCAATTTGAAAATTTCGGAGTTGTGCTCATTTATGAACTGTTTGGCATCTCTCTTGAATATTTTACTGATTTTTTTCTCTGAATAAACCCAACAATCAGCACAATTTTGGTCAAAAATTGCACATAACCATCACATTCCGTTTTTTGCGTCAATTTTGCGGCATTGGAACAGTTGAGTTCCTTCATCTGGAAAACTACGAAACATCCTTGCGGGAATATTACTGAGATACTATATAACAAATCGATAGACAAATAGGTCGAATGAAAAATGGAACGATTCTATTGGTTGAAGGGGGGTTGTTATAGACTTATGGAAAAAATGGTGGGTTATAGATAGGATCTTTCGTGGGTTGCTGTTAGTTCGTCTACTTACACGGGATAGGGGGAAAAGTGTTAGGGGTTATCCCCTAAAACTGTGGTACTACCTCAAATTTTTGGATGATATGGACAATTTCAATTGAGGGGCTTGGAGGACAAGGCGCATAAATGCAGTTTTTGAAAAATTGAGTTATCAATGATCTCGAATAAAACGAGTCTTAAAGCAAAATCTGTGAAAAATCGCTCCCAAATTCCAATTTGAAGCATCAGAAAATCAGTTTGAACTTTCTTTTCATGTAAGGATCTCAAGGATCCATGTAATTTCCAAACTCCAAATATGTATTTCTCGAAATAGTAAAAACTGCGCCTTGCTCTCCAAGCCCCTCAATTAATTATGGCAGTGCCGCAGTATTTGGGTTAGTTACCTAACTAATTGGGGTACTACACCAATTATTTGATGTACCACCACGAATAATTGTGAATCAAACCACCCCGTGCTTTTTTTTGATCGCTCCATTGCCCCATTGTCTTCTATGTCTATCGCTTTGTCTATGGATTTCAACGAACAGTCTGCTGAAACAAATCTATGGAAAGCGCAGTCTAACCTTCATGACAAGCAGTCGGTCAAGTGGGCGGGGCGAGGAACCGGCGATAACATTAAAGCGAGTCGGGAGCCCAACAACACGGTGAATCCTCGTGGCTCCTTACGGACGGCGGCTCGGCAACCAGCGACGCGCACGGGTATCCTCGGCGGTATCCACGGCGTTGAAGGCGCGCACGATCACGTGGTGGCGGTCTCTCGCGCGCTTTTGCGATCATCTAGCGCGAGGGCGAGCGGCGGAAAGCGCGTCCGTTCGGCGCGGCGCGATCATAACCTGTAACATTTCCTCAAGCGCGGGGCCGAGCGCCGAGCCCTATCGCGCAGGTCCTCTCCGTCGACAGAGGGTCACCAGTTCAAGGATGTGAGACTCCTTATTAAAATCAATGCGCCGGCGAAATTTGTGCGGAAGCTCGAAATAAACCCACTTTTACGCCTCTCCGCAGCCCACCCCCTCCCCCTCAGTGGCGTGGCGTGCTTTGCGATGTATCGATTGTTCTGCCACTTAAACCTATGGTAAAGAATCGATTATTAAGGTGTTCGCTGCGAACACCCTGTTTATCGATCCTTCTCCATAGGTTTAAATGGCATAATGATCGATATATCGCAATTCACGCCACGCCACTGCTCCCCCTCTCGTGACCCGACTTTTCCACTTTGATCGTCTGATTGTTCCGTGGGTTTTTAAGACTAGTATCGCACTTTGACGGTATAGATCCGCAACCACGTATGTCGGTTTGCGACGTTGCGGAGTTCCTGTCAAACTGTATTTTTTGAATGGGAAACTTTTCGACGGCAATTCTTATAAACTGCCATGATTGTTTTCTCTCTCAGCGATAAAGATTCTGCGAAAACTTCAAGGGATAGGAGCAGAGATTTTTAAACACCACAAACGAAATGAGTGGTTCCGGACTCATACAGTCAAATAATGACAGTATTTAGATAAACGACGTATGCGCTTTGCATGTACTGTTTCTCAGATCGTACGCAACATCTCGCTTAATTTAAGCTGTGCGATTAGAAATGTTTGCCTGATCTTTGACCCAAACATCTCTCATATTTCTACTAAGTTTTTTATTAAAAGAACAGGCCACAAGACAATGTAAGCATGTTTAGCCATCAAATTCTCATGCAGAGTGACCCAACTTTTCCACTTTGATCGTCTAATTGTTCCGTGGACTTTAGAGACTAGTATCGTAATTATGACATTCTTGGTAGAAACAACATAAATGCACCTCCTCATGCACTGTTGCTCAGGTCGTACGCAACTTCTTGCTTAATTTAAGCTATGCGATTTGAGATCTCTACCTGAGCTTTGACTCAAAAATTTTTCATATTTTTACTCATTTTTGTACTGAAAGGACGGACCGCAAGACGGTGCAACCAACATCGCATTTTAATGTGGCCCAACTTTTCCACTTTGATCGCCTGATTGTTCCGTGGTCTTTAGAGACTACTATCGCAATAAATTATGAAATTCTTGGGAGGAACGACGTATGCGCCTCGCAGGCAATGTTCTTCAGATCGTCTGCAAGTTCTATCCTAATTTAAGCTGTGCGATTTGAGATCTCTACCTCAGCTTTCACCAAAAACTCTCTTGTACTTTTACTTATTTTCCTATTGAAAGAACGGACCACAAGACAACATAGGATGTGTTTCCTCGTCAACATTTTACGCTGAACATGTTAAAAAATCTACGCTGTTCGAAAATTTCACTGAATTTTCTTTGTGCTGCCGATGAAATTCAGTGAAATTTTCAAGCAGTTTCAACCAACAATTTCTCTGTAAAAAAATAAAATGGCGACGGAAATTTCGAGACGTCGCATGGCGCTTGTGATGCTACGGCCGGAAGGTGACAATATATTATCTCCGTTTGCACAGTCTCAACAGCACTGCAAAGTTTTTACTTCGTGTCTGCGGATAACGGCTGTATAATTGAAGGGTGCCTCGATAGCAGAGTGAAGTGACATTTTTTGTGATTCAGGGACGGACACGTTGCTAGAAATGACATTATATGGAAACCTTTAACACGAACGTGACAGTTCACGGGAAAAGGCAGGAAGTTGAGGATAATTTTTCGGGAGAGTACTTTTTGCCAAGTCGTCGTTTCCAGCACGAAGGAACGTAACTCCATTCCAAGGTTGCCAAATCGACTCGATCAATTAATTTATTTTACAAAAATGTACGCAAGCAATTTTTATCCGAAATTTGTCTGTTTTTTGCTTAAAATCTAGAGGAAAATCAGGGAATTTTTCAGTCAGAAATGCCCAAGATTCTCTCGATTAATTGGCAATTTGCGAGGGGAAATTTGGCAACATTGAAATGGAGTTAGGTACGTTCTTTCGTCTAGGAGGCGACGAAGTTGGGTCTGAAATTCGGAATCGGGATGTTTATCGGTCAACTCTCACTATAATCAAAACGAATAAGTTGCGAGTAGATTAATTCGGTTTTGTGTTAAAAGAGGGCATTCCGATCATTACTTTTCAATGTAATTATAGTCGCATAATTCGTCCAAATTCAACAGAGTCTGTTTCGCTTTTAAAGCTATAGACATTTGGAACAGCAAAAGGAAATAAGATAAATACCACTATATTTTAACATAGGTATGATCTTTTAGGGTTTTAAAAACTTTAGCACCCTTCATCTTACTTTGATAACTAGTCACGACATTTATGGCGTTAATCAAAGTAAAGTTGGAAATGATGGGTTCGGAAGCAAGCTCAAAATTTTACTTCCGGAATTTACAAAATGATTTTTATTTTAAGTTTCCACAAGACACCTCTTAACGTAAACGTAAGGTCCGGAAAAAAGAGAGATTCCTGTTTTTAAGAAGCAAAAGTACTTGTTGAAGATGCATTTTCATTACGGTGAATTTTCATCAAGTAATTTTTTATCAAGGTAAATTTTAACAAATACCTGGAATAAGTTTGCCCGTAGACCCTCGAACCGCTCTTGTGCGGACAAGGTCTTACTTACTACATGTAGGTAATTTTGCTGCAGTTTTTAAAAAGAATGCCATAAAAATGGGTGGTTTTTCTACGAGGATTAAAAATAGACGAGTGGTACGGAATATAACAAAAGAATATGAACTATGCAAAACGATAATCCGGGAATCGGAACTTGGCTGGTTTGAAAACGCCTTCAAACGCGGCGTGATACCTCACGCATTCCGGAGAGCTCAAATAGTTGTATCATTGCGCCTTAGAAATGCGACGGAAGATTTCAATGCACGGAGAAAAAAAACTCGTGCATGGGACCCGAAGTTTAGGTCATATGGATCTCTGAAGTTTTCAGATTGAGCATCTGAACACTTTAGGTCTAGCTGCCGAGGTTCGGATCACACATCTGAAACTTCAGTTCTTACATCTGAAGTACTTCGGTTCTCACATCCGAAGTACTTCGGTTCTCACATCCGAAGTACTTCGGTTCTCACATCTGAAGTACTTCAGATGTAAGACCTGAAGTTTCAGATGTATGATCCGAACCTCGGCAGCTGGACCTAAAGTGTTCAGATGCTCAATCTGAAAACTTCAGAGATCCATATGACCTGAACTTCGGGTCCCACGCACGAGTTTTTTTTCTCCGTGTGGAAATAGCCTTCATGCACGCTGGCCTTTTCGATTTCCGATAACATTTTTGCAGTCATGAATGCGCTTAAGTGCGCTTCAGCTAGAATTGTATTTAGCAAAGTGAATTTGTAGTGGTTTTTCACGGGTAACACGGGCTCCCTCCGGGGCTCGGTCCCCGGTACCAGGGACCCAGTGTCCCCCCCCCCTTATGGCGGGCCTGGGCACCAGACGCATCCATGCTTCATTATTTACAGAAGATTCGAGCCAGAGTTTGCAACATATAATACTGCTTTGAAAATCTAAAAGTCGGAAAATGATTCATCATTTTCGGGATCCTGAACCCGAGAAAGACATGTGTGTCTAAAAGATCTTTTTAACCTCCTCGTAAAATGAAACATTCAGTTTAGCAAGTACAAGGTGAAATTTTGAGGCAGGGACAAAGTGCTCAGTAAGAAAAATAAAAACATATTGAGATAGGCATACATGTATGTTAAATGCACCGGAGATCTAATTAAACTGGCTGCAAGAGATCCTATTCAAAAATTATTTTATCGGCAATGACAATGTTTTGGGACGTCACTGAACAATTGGAGTCTAATTTTGCATGATTAAACATGGCTAAATTTTATTGAAATTCTCCGACTGACTGTGAATGGCTTATGTTGGCTTCCCTCTTGAATCCTGAGTTTTTGGCGAACAAGGTGCAGTCATATTTTAATGATATTTTCATTAACCCTTAGATGCCGAAGCCCGGTGAAATTGACAGGAGACTTGTTTAAAAAACGTGCCACGCGTGTTGTAAGCCGCACATTGGAGCCGTAAATGTAGGTCTATAAATATTTATACATCAAAAAAAGAATCAAACTTCGAATTGAAAAAAGAATAAAAAATTGAGAGACAACAGAGTCGAGACGTAATCGGGCCTAGTTTTTTAAATTTTTCTCTCGAATCTGAGTGATACCTCAATATGCCAGCATAGAACGGAGCATTGCGAGTTCACGCCTAGCGCCATCGCGCCTTCAATTTTGTAGATGCAACGCGGACATCCATCATTTACGAATAGTTGTATCTCTGCGCCGCCATCAACGCTCCTCCGTTTACATTGCTCTATTTCCATTCTGTGTTCGTTTCAGTTTGTCTTATTTGTATTTTTATCGGTGCTCTAAAGGCTGTATGAGCAACACAGCTGTAAATAGGAGAGCCGTAATAATCGAACATAGTTTCTTAATTTTTCTCACGACACCTTATTGGCAGCATAAAGCGGAGCTGCGGAACTTCGCGAATTCACAGCTCGCGTCATCGCGCCTTCAATTTTGCAGATGCAACACAGACATCCATCAAGCACGAATAGTTGTATCTCTGCGCCGTCTTTTCATTTGCTCTATTTCCATATTGTGTTAGATTCGTTTGTCTCATTTGTAGTGATGCTTCAATGGCTACTTGAGCAACGCATCCGAAGATAGGATGTGCCCTAATCAATTATCATTTCGAAAAGAAAAGAAAAATGTTAGAGGTCTCTCAAGCGATCAAAAGGGCGCACGTCTAAGAATTGACTGTACTTCCTCTTCTGAGAAAGTGCTACATGACGGATGAGGAAGGGAGTGATAAAGCGTCTGCTATGAGTGAAATAATTGTCATTCACTACAGCTTGATTAAACCAATTGTCCTAATTTTTCGCATTCTTCTCTTTAAAATATTGAGGTACGGGTATAAAATCTGAAT